CAACTAAGAAAACCTGCCCACATCGTTAGCACTCATTTATTCAAAAGAGCACCTGTTTTAGGTACTGGGGGTGCAAACATGAATAAAACATGTTGGCTGCCCTAGAAAATTTCTTAATAGGAGAGAAAGATACATAATTACACAGTGATGGGGAAAATCACATTGATTAAGGGTATAATTGCACAGTTGATTATTATAATTGTTGTACATAAGTTGTACACCTGTAAAAAGTAGAATAGATGAAAGTCGTGTGATAGGTATATTTCTAGCAATGACATAAAAGAGCAACTGTTGAAGCTTTTCTGTACAATCAATATCTCATGGGATTTGTGTGTCTAGCTTGCATTTTTAAGGTCACAATTCCATGAAACATCCCAATAAATTAAATTAACAGCATATTTAGTGCCTCTCTTCCTAGGAGCTCTTATGGCCTCATGGTTAGAGAGTTGTGCTGCCAGTCCAAAGGCAGGCAGTTCAACCACCAGCTTCTTTGCAGGAGAAAGATGTGCCATCTCCCATGTTATTTACTTTTTCTGAAAATCCACTGGAGTGTCCACTACATTCAATTCTTCTGACTTGACAGCAAAAGGTTGGTTGGTTGGTTGGTTGGTTGGTTGGTTAGTTAGTTAGTTAGTTAGTTAGTTAGTTCATTCTTCTACCTCCTAGTTCATTGCATAGGGCAAGGTGTCTTAAAAGTTTTTCTGCTGTGGAATCACAACACCCAGAAAGCAGCAGCATATATCTATTGGTGCTAGAGATTACTGCGCCAGCCAGAATGGGATCTATACAAGAGGAACAGCAACCTCAGTGCAACCTCAGTTGAGAATCAGAGGCTAATATGAGACAGAGCTGACTTCGGACTGCTGCCTCATAGAGCCAGATCCAGGGACCTTCACCCAAACTTGCTGGACAACTGAGGGAAGATGCCATAACTGGTGGGCCTAAGGGAACTTACTAACACTGTCCTAAGCTGTGAGGCTGAAGGTCAAAGGACTATGATCAAGCTTAAGAAGCTGTCTGGATATGGAAGAACTTTTCACAGATGAAGATATTAAGATGGCAAACAGACACATGAAAAAATGCTCAAAATCAGTGGCAATAAAAGAGAGATGCAAATCAAAACCACTGTGAGATACCATCTCTCCTCAGTAGCAGGGGCAAAGTTGAGTAGAGCAGCAAGCAATAAATGTTGGTGGGATTGTAAAATGGTACACCTCTGGAAGACTATTTGACATTTTCTCAAAAAGTCAAACATAAAAATTCTCTATGCCCCAGCTATTCCACTAGTAGGGAAATCAGAACTGAGATACAAACGGAGATTTGTACACCAATGTTCATAGCAACATTATTAACCATCACAAGAACATGAAAACAGCCTAGATGTCCAACCACGACTGAATGGATTAAAAAATTGTCATATATTCACACAGTGGAATACTATGCAGTGGAATACTATGTTACTACTCAGTAGCAACACTTTTGAAAAATATCACATAACTTGGAAAAGACTGGAGAGTATTTTGCTGAATGAACTAACCCAGTCTCATAAGGGCAAATACTGCATAAGGCCATTATTGTAAAAATAGAAGGATAACCAGTAAAATATGTATGGGAACTCAAGGAGGGAAGGGGTGGAAACAGGTGAGATTGGGTAGAGGTTAAACTAGAGGATTGCACGGTTTTGTGAGTGGAGGGAGTGAGATGAAGGAAATGGGAAGGATCTGAGTGAAAAGACAGGATAATGATGGTCAAGGGCCAATAGTGATTAATTTCATAAATCATATGCATGAGAATGATGTATAAAAGACAATGTGAATGAAGAATAATGTGAAACACAAAGTATACAAACTTTGTAAGCAAACAATTTTTTATTTTTTTTTAAAGGAGGCTGTATGGACTGAGAAAAATTTGGTAATGACATGTGTGATGAACGACTTATATCTAGAATTTATAGAATATTTGAGCACCATAACAAGATAAACAACCCAATTGAAAAATGGGCGCAGGATATGAACAGTCACCAAAGAAGACATTCAGATGGCTAACAAGCACATGAAGAAGTGTTCAAAATCCCTAGCTCTAAGAGAGCTGCAAATCAAAACAACTATGAGATATCATCTCACCCCAGTAAGAATAGCAAAATTCAACAGAACAGCAAGCAACAAATGCTGTTGAGGTTGTGGAGAAAGTGGAACCCTTATTCACTGTTGGTGAGAGTGTAAAATGGTGCAGCTACTATGGAAAGCAGTATGGGGCTTTCTCAAAAAGTTGGAAATAGAAATACCATTGACCTAGCAATTCCACTACTGGGAATATATACCTGAAAGAAATCAGAACTGCTCACCCGTGTTTATTGCAGCTTTGTTCACAATAGCAGAGAGTTGGAAACAACCCAAGTGACTGTCAACAAACAAATGGATAGAGAGAAGTGGCTATATTCACACAATGGAATACTATGCTTCATTGAAAACAAGGAACTCATGAAATATTATACAAAATGAGTGACCCTGGAGGACATTATGCTGAGTGAAATAGCTCAGTCACAAAAGGACAAATACTGCATAGTGCCACTATTATAAAATGGGATTGACATGGGGGTTGGGTGGAACCTAAGAAAAGAAGGGATACATAATATATGTACTGCATTGAAACAGATGAGGTAGAGAACTATTTAAGAGGAACATATGATTAGGTATTATTTTCATGACAAGAATCCAGAATAAGAGCTGCATAGTAATTTGGACTAGGGGGAGGGGTTGTATAACAATGTAATTTTTTTTTCTAAGAGAAAAGTGAGGGTGGGGGAAGGATGGGAAGAGAGGAAAATATGCAACAATGAATGAATGGAAATCTAAAGTCTCTGTAAACTTTCATTGAAATTTTAATAATAAAAAAGAAACTAATTTAGAGAGAAAAATAAAAACAACACATAATTGCATTTCAAAGTGATACATATTATATAATAAATATATGACCAGAGTGTTGCCATAGTATACCAGAGGGAACAATAAATTTGACAGTGTATGATAAAGTTTCAAAGAGGGGTGTTTTAGCCCTATCTTGAATGATGGGTGAGAATGCCATTTGGAGAGGCAGGAGATAGGGAACAGCCTGCGCAAATACTAACACGTACATACTGTAGAAGGAGAATATTTGCAGGATGACTAGAGAAAAAGCTTTCTGAAGGAAAGGCACCAACATAGGAGTTTTAATTTGGGGAAATCAAAAGAGGGCAATAAAAAAGTGGCAAACACGATTTTATTTCTTTTTTAATTCAGATGCTAGATTAAAAGCTGTTGTAGTATTCCACTTGAGAGATTAGGGTTTCTACTAAGAAGCAGAGGGGACAGAAAGGAGTTGTTAGATAATAGAAACTTAAGAAAATTATCCAATGTTCAGTGTGATTTTTGTGATTAGATTGATATGACAGATGTGGGCATAAAAAGAAAGAAATTTCATAGATGGTTAAGTGGATGTGAGGTTATTTGATGACTTGGGGAAGTATAAAAAAAGGAAATTGTTCCTTTTGCTTTAGTTTTGGAGAATAAGGCAAAAGTTTTCATTGTAGCCAGTAGAGTCAGTCTCTTGAATAGCATCTCAGTAGTCAGATCTGGTTCTGAATCTTGAGAGAGATGATCATAGTAGTAATGTTCAGTTCTTACTATTTCTTTTTCTGTCAATAACGCAGGTTCTTAGAGGGCGAACTGATCATGGTCTCAGAAAAATAGCTGAAGAATGAATGAAACCATAAATTTCTAAGCTTCTTAATGATTGAGTTCATTGAAATGGCCTTTAAAGAAAGAACAACCAAAAAAAAAAAAAAATAATCAATTCTTGGTTCTTACTCTAATTATTTGACTGTTTTACTTCACAGAAAAAAATGTACATTTTTTTAAAGAAAGAACAACCAAAAAAAAAAAAAATCAATCAATTCTTGGTTCTTACTCTAATTATTTGACTGTTTTACTTCACAGAAAAAAATGTACATTTTTTTAAAACTCAGAATAAAATGAGTAGCATTTATATACAAAAATCAGTATATCTGAAAATTACATATTCTAATCTTTTATTGTCTGACTCCTGACAGACAAATGAAAAGTACACAGGACTATAGACTATAGCTAAGGAGCCGCAGGCCTTCTATTTTGTGCTAACAAATCTTAAAATTCCTTGATTAAACTTTCCCAGGAAATATCTGTATATGAGCATATATAACATAAATAATATATTAGCTTTGTCTCATTTTGCTGCCTTGTTTCAATATAAGGAAAGCTAAAAGTGTCAAAGATTGAAAATGTAACATCTGCTTGTCTGCTTTTAAAATAGACTTTTCTTCCCCTCTTAGACCTTTAAGCTGTAGGCCTTCTTGAAAGCCAGAGAGTAAAGTAAAACAATTCCTCAAAGTCTATCTCCTCCCCTCCCCAACCAAGTTCAGGGTCAATAACCATTGACTGAAACACGTGGGTGGTCAGGAATGGTCTTGGAAAGAGTTTGAACAATGTGAATCATCATATGATTTTTTTCTCATGCATTCCTAAAACAAATTAGCATATCTTATCCATATGAAATTCCAGTTTTAGCTGTTACCATCCAGATTGTTTGTTGATTTCCTGGGCAAAAGGTATTTTCCCTTCACTTTGTTCTTGATTGCTGTGTAATGTCCTTGCTTGCTGCTTAAGGCAGCTGCAGGAGAGTGCACCCGGAAAGTGGTTATACCTCTATATATAGTAACACATAGGGTTTGTAAAGCATTTGCAGATTCCTTTTGGATAAAATGGTTTCTATAAATGTAACATTTTAAATGAAACTATTATTATCACCCATTAGAGAATATAGCAACTAATATGTGTGGCTTTGTGGACAAGACAGAGGCACAAAACTGGTCTTGTTGGAAAGGGTTGTTTTTTTCCCTCCCATCTAAATAGAGCTCATTGAATATTTTAAATGCTTAAAACTGATCATGTGAATCCTATTTTTATGCTCTTAATCTTGAATTTCAGAGCCTTTACTCAAGTTTTTACCTTTGGTCCAACCTTCCGTGCAGAGAATTCTCAGAGCCGGAGACACCTGGCAGAGTTTTACATGGTAGAAGCAGAAATGTCTTTTGTTGAGAACCTTCAGGATCTCATGCAGGTAGGTACTCAAGTGTTAAAAAATGTTTTAGTTTTGTACATCTGTGGCACTAAAATGCTGTATATAGTTCCCTTAAACACCAGTGTATTAGAGATATTCATAGAATGAACTAAGTAAAGAGTATTTACTGTACCTTTAGTGTAATAATTTAAAGTTCAAAGTCAGCAAGGTTTAAGTTCTTCTATCAAGTTCTGCCATCAGCTTTGCTCTGAAGTTACCGAAACATCATGATCTTTCATCCCACAGTTATAAAATTGGAATAATAGTGCTTATTCTTTAAGCCAATTGTAAAGAAAAGAATATATACAGTATGTTGTTGTTGTTGTTGATTGCTTTCAAGTCAAACAACCCTGTAGCAACCCTATGAACAAAAGGCCTGGAGCCCCACTAGAACTATCGACATATATCAAAGTTCATAGAGTTTCCGGAGGCATGTTGTTTAAGAAGTGGATGCCACCCCTGCTTCCAAATGTACTGTATAATATACCTAATATGAAGTCTGGCACTTAAAAAAAGCTCAGTAAATAGAAGCCCTTTGTTTTCTTATTATTTTCTAAGCAAATGAATAAAGCACCTTTAAGCACTAATAGAAATTATTCACAGAATGTGTCAAGAGTCCAGTGTTTTATATTTTTTGACGGGTGTTGACGGGAGAGGAGTACCTTTGGAAAATCAGAATTCAGGTCATGAAGGACCTTTTATTTGAATGCTGTTCCTTGAGCTTTGTCTAGAGAAGTTTGAGTGTTATCCAGAGGGTAAGGAGAAAGAGGTCTTAGTTTAAAAAAGTTATGATGAGAGGTGTATTTTAGGAACATTGCTCTAGTATATGTACAGAATGATTTGGAAGGGAGGCTATGGCTATAATTCAGTGAGAGCCAATAAGCTCTGTTGTTATTATATATCACCAAGTCACCTATAACTCATAGGGACCTTATGCACAATAACTCTGAACACTGCTATATCCGAGGCCAGTCTCATTGTCTCCTACACACTTAGCACCATTACTGTGTCAATTCATCTCATCCAGGGTCTTCCTTTCTGTCATCCTTGTCCAGCTCTCTGATACATAGCAATTAATTGCGTAGACTATGGTCTTGATTGGGTGCACCTTAGTCTCCAGACTGATAACATTGCTCTTCAGTACTCTGGAAAAGTCCCCGAAGCTCTACAGTTGGTTATATCTAAATTTGAGTCAGTCTGTCACTTGCTGTGTACTCTAAGACAAGGGACTTAATTTCTCTGAAGCTCATTTTCCTCATCTAGAAAATAGGAGAAATAATTCCTATTTAATAATTTAGTAAAATTAAGAAAAGAGTGTGTCAGAGTTGTATCTTTCCTTCATACCTGTTCAATGTGTGTGCTGAGCCAATTACTAAAAAATGTGAACTCTGAAGAAGTATGTGGCCTTAGGCTTGGAGGAAGGCTAGTTAATAACCTTCGTTATGCAGATGACACAACTTTGCTTGCTAAAAGTGAAAAGGATTTGAAGCGCTTACTGCAGAAGATCAAAGATTATAGCCTTCAATATGAATTGCATCCCAACTTCAAGAAAACAAAAGTTCTCACCACGGGACTAATATGCATCATCATGATAGATGCAGAAAAGATTGAACAGTCAACAGCATCTTACTTGGATCCATAGTCAGTATGCTTGTTAACATCAGTCAGGAGATCAGAAGATGTATTGCAGTTGGAAAGTCTGCATGAAGGACCTCTTCAAATTACTGAGGAACAATGATGTCAGTGAGAGGACTCAGGCCATAGTATTTTTGTTCACTTGCTGTGCTGCTGAGACTTGGACAGTGAATAAGGATGACAGAAAAAGAATTGATGCCTTTGAATTGTGTTTTTAGAGAAGAGTATTGAATATCCTTTGTACGGCCAAAAGAACAAACAGATTGTATTGGACAAGGTTCAGATCTGTTGTTTATGGTTTGCTATGAGTCATACTGTTTCATTGATTATGCAGAGGCATTTGACTGTGTGGATCATAACAAACTGTGGATGACTCTGAGAAGAATGGGAATGCCAGAACATTTAATCGTGCTAATGTGAAACCTATGCTTGGACCAAGAGGTATTTGGCAGAACAGAACAGGGTAACACTGCATGGTTCAAAATTGGGAAGGGTGTGCACCAGGGATGTGTCCTGCCTCCATACCTTTTCAACCTGTATGCAGAGCAGATTATCCGGGAGGCTGGGCTCTATGAGGAGAATTGTGGCATCAGGATTGGTGGAAGATCTATTAACAATCTGCGTTATGCAGATGATACAACCCTGCTTGCTGAAACTGAGGAGGACCTCATGCACTTGCTGCGAAGGGTCAAGGACTGCAGCCTTCAGTATGGACTGAGGCTCAATGTCAAGAAGACAAAGATTCTCACCACTGGACCAACTGGTAGCATCAGGATTGATGGTGAAGAGATTGAGATTGTTCACACCTTCAGTTTGCTCAGCTCCATGGTCAACACTCTTGGCACCAGCAGTCAGGAAATAAAAAAACGTATTGCGATGGGAAAGTCTGCTGTTAGGGACCTCTCTGAGGTACTCAAGAGCAACGGTGTCTCTCTGGAGACTAAGGTGCGTCCGATACAGGCCATGGTCTTTGCAATCACTTGTTATGTATCAGAGAGTTAGGCAATGCCTAGGGATGACAGAAGGATAATTGATGCCTTTGAGCTGTGGTGCTGGAGAAGAGTATTGAATGTACCATGGACTGCCAAGAAAACAAACAGATTCATCCTAGAGAGGGTTAAACCAAGCAACTCCTTGGAGGCAAGGCTTCTGGGGCTTCATCTGACATATTTGGGGCATGTTGCAAAGAGGGCCAGGTCCTTGGAGAGGGACATCATGCTTGGGAGGGTGGAGGGACGGCACAAGAGGGGAAGACCCTCTATGAGGTGGATTGATTCAGTGACTGGGGTAATTGGGATGGGTGTGTCAGAGGCAGTGCGGTTGGCACAGGATAGAGCAGGGTTTAGGGCTATTGTATATAGGGTCGCTATGAGTTGCAAATGACTCGACAGTACATAACAACAACAACATGAGTCATACTTGATTTGATGGCACCTCACAACAACACAGTAGTTTAGAGGATTGTTGTTGTTGTTGTGAGGTGCCATCCATTGAGTAGACGATGACTTGTTAACAACACTGAACAACCTTGCCCTATGCTGCCCCATCCTCACAATATCTGATATAGGCCAGCCCACTGTTACAGTCACTGAGTCAGTCCATCTTGGTGAGAAGTCTTCACCTCTTTCTCTGATTGTCCACCCTACCAGCATAGTGTCTTTTTCAAAGGACTGGACCTTCTGACGACATGCCCAAAGTATGTCTGATGAACTTTCAGCATCCTTGCCTGTAAGTAGCACCTTGACTGCACTTTCTCCAAGACAGATTTGTTTGTTATTTTTATTGTTGTTTTTCTTTTATATTGGTTTGATTACAAAGTCTATTTACATTGCATTTGACACTATTCCTCATTTACATTGTGTTTCATACACTCATTCTCATGAATTGTGTTTTGTAAAATTAATCACCATTGGATTATGCCCAACATTACTCTGTCTATTCAGTTCCCTGCTGGATCTTTACCATTTCCTTCACCCCCTCCCTCCACCTACCAAATTGTGCAACCATGTGGTTTTGCTCCTGCACATCCTCACCCCTGTGTTCCCACCCCTTCCTGCCCTGGGTCCTCATACATATTTTACCAGTTATCCTTCTGTTTTTACAGTAATGGTCTTATGCAGTATTTGTCCTTATGAGACTGAGTTAGTTCATTCAGCATAATATTCTCCAGTCTCTACCAAGTTATGTAGAATATTTCAAAATCGTTGCTCCTGAGTGCTGAATAGTATTCCATTATGTGAATGTACCACAATTTCTCAATCCATTCAGTTGTGGTTGGACATTTGGGCTGTTTCCATGTTCTTGCGATGGTGAAAAACACTGCTGCGAACATTGGTGTACAAGTCTCTGTTTGTGTCTCAATTTTAATTTCCTTGGGATGTTAGTATGGAGACTAAGGTGCGCCTGATCCAGGCCATGGTCTTTGCAATTTCTTGCTATGCATCAGAGAGCTGGACAGTGACTAGGGATGATAGCAGGACAGTTGATGCCTTTGAGCTGTGGTGCTGGAGAAGAGTGTTGGATACACCATGGACTGCTAGAAGAACAAACAAGTTCATCCTGGAGAAGGTAAAGCCAGGCTGCTCCTTGGAGGCAAGGATTCTGAAGCTTCGTCTGACATACTTTGGACATGTTGCAAGAAGGGACCAGTCCTTGGAGAGGAATGTCATCTTGGAAGGGTAGAGGGACAGTACAGGAGAGGAAGACCCTCGATGAGATGAATTGATTGAGCCACTGGGGTAATGAGATAGGTGTGTCGGAGACAGATTGGCAAGGGATAGAGCAGGATTTTAGAGCTGTTGTACTAGAGTTGCTATGAGTCACAGGCAACTCAACAGCACATAACAACATATTCCTAGTAGTGGAATAGCTGGGTCATACAGAGTTCCCATTTTCAACTTTTTGAGGAAACACCAAACTACCTTCCAGTGTGGTTGTACCATTTTACAATCACAGCAACAGTGTATGAGAGTTCCCACTTCTCCACATCCTTTCAAATATTTCTTGTTTGCCGCTGCTGCCTGGAAGAGATGGTATCTCTTTGTGGTTTTTTTTTTTACATCTCTCTTATTGACATTGATTTTGAACATTTTTACATATGCCTGTTGGCTGTCCGAATGTCTTCCTCTGTGAAAAGTCTTTACATGACTTTTGTCCATTTTGTAATTGGGTTATCTGTCTTTTTCTTCTGGAGGCCCAGGAGTGTTCTGTAAACTTTTATTATGAGACCCTTGTCTGAGATGGTATTGCCAAATGTTTTTTTCCCAGTTGGTAGGCTTTCTTTTCACCCTATTAGAAAAGGTTTTTGCTGAGCAGAGAGATTTAATCTTTAGAAACTTGATCAATTTTATCCTCTCCTGATTTTG